CTTCTTGTTCATAATTTGAATTACTTCTTGCATGGTCCATGTTAATTTTGAAGTCTAGAGCAAAAATATGGCTTAAATTGTTGAATTGAGTAAGATTTCATGCATGCATGGTCCTATTGTTGAGTTTTGAGTTGTTTTCATGGAAATTGCTACATGCATGTTCATATTTTTGGTCTTGAGCCATGGATTCACCATGTTTTTGCAAGAATTGGCTCTTTGGAGCATGTTTTAGAAGCTTTGAATTCATTAGAACTCATGTATGTATGAGTTTTGCATCAATCTTCATGTTATTGGATTTTGGTTTGGAATTGTGTTTTAATTGAACTACCTTTGGGCTTTGATTCCTCAAATTGATCTTCAAAACATGTTATACTATGAGTTTATAAGTGTTTTCCAAAAAATTAGCCCAAAAGGATTGAATTTGATGCTTCAAAGTTGAGTTTTGAGCTTGAGGTTCAAATCTAGAATTTCTAGATTTTGGACCCACGCTCGAGCGAGGAACTCCACACTCGAGCGTACACTCTGAATACATGAAGTCCGCTCGAGCGAGAAAAGTGGCGCTCAAGCGTGAAATTCGTGTATCCAGTACTTTGCATGTGTTTACAGTCCGCTCGAGCGAGAGAGTTCACGCTCGAGCGAGGACTTGTGTCTCACGCTCGAGCGTGTATCGAGTGCCCGTCAAGCGTGATTTTTGTGCATCCAGTACTTTTACTGTAGCTTGCAGTCCGCTCGAGCGATGGAAGTTACGCTCGAGCGAAGCTCATTTGTTTGCATGTCCGCTCGAGCATAGAAAGCCGCTCGAGCGAGACCCCTGTTTTCTGAAAATTCTGAAAAGTGTTTTAAAGTGCATATTTGCATCCTCATTCCATCCTAGGCATTCCTAGGCCTAGTTTAAGGCATCTTAATGAGGATATTGATGTAGAACCACACCGAGGAAAATTAGGGATTAAGTTATTATTTCCCAACTGTGTAGCTTAGTGTGTGTTTGTTCTGTAACTGTGTAGGGTTGGCATCCGAGGACGCGTACTAGCTTATCTATAGCCCAGAACTCTATGAGTAACAATGTTGTAAAGATATGTTTAATTGAGATTATTTTCTGAACAAATGACTGTACTACTTTATGAAATGACACTGTTTACTGAATGAATATTTGTCCTATTTGTGAACTGTATTCGTGACATCCATAGCAATATACTGTTACTGAACTGTTACTGCTACTGTTACAGAGATCTCTGTCGGTTCCCATGTTTGGAACCACTACTGTTTACTGATATGATGGCCATCATTGACTGTTCGGTCTGCTAAGACCTACTGTACTATTTTGCTATTGGGTGTACCACATATGACTATTATAGTTTCTGAATTACTGTATGGCATGAATTATGAGCCACAAATTGAATGACTGATATACTGATAAATGACTGTTTTTAATACTGAAATGACATTCATTCTTAATCTCTTTACGCATATGTTATTCACTGGGCTTTAGCTTATTGTTTTTATATATGTATATAGGTGTCCAGGCACCGGATCGAAGCTAGGGGCGTGGAGTTTAAACTCTCTTTTTGTCAAGCCAACCAACGTGCCTCACTGTAAGGTTCCCAGTCCTTCAAGCTAGGGCTTTTTGGGGTGTTTTAGTTTTTCCCCTTTTGTATCTGGTTTTGTAACACTGTATAGACTGAATGTAGGGATTTGGTCCTTAACCCGAATGTTTGTATATGTATGTATAGTACTGTTTGTTCTGAATGTGAATATGTTTTTTTTTTAAAAAAAAAAAAACATCTTTTTGCATACAGACTGTCACCGCTCATTGGACATCTCTTAATTACTATTTTGGCTTCCGCCAGCCCCTGTACTCTGTATTACTGTTATTACTGTTAAGCAGGCCTTCGGTAATCTCGGATTACTGGCCGGTTACGGTGCTAAACCCATAGAGGCGGGTTTGGGTCGTGACAGTGACAAAGCATATTCTTCTGATATTTTGGTAATTTTCATACCAAGAATTACATCAGCAATGCCCATGTCCTTCATGTCAAAATGTTTATTCAACATTTTCTTGGTAGTTTTAATCATGTCATTATTACTAGCTATAATGAGCATATCATCTACATAAAGACATACAATGACATAACCTTTGTCTGTGTTTTTAATATAAATACATTTGTCACACTCATTAATTTTAAATCCATTTGACATTATTGCCTTATCAAATTTCTCATGCCATTGCTTTGGTGCTTGTTTTAAACCATATAATGATTTAACCAATTTACATACTTTCTTTTCTTTCCTTGGAACAGAAAACCATTCTGATTGTTCCATGTAAATTTCTTCCTCTAACTCACCATTTAAGAAAGCGGTTTTAACATCCATTTGATGAATTTCTAGATTGTATAGAGATGCAATGGTAATTAGCATTCTAATGGATGTTATTCTAGTAACCGGTAAGTATGTGTCAAAGTAATCAAGACCTTCTTTTGGTCTAAATCCTTTTACCACAAGTCTTGCCATGTATTTGTCAATTGATCCATCTGCTTTCATTTTCCTTTTGAAAATCCACTTATATCCAAGAGGTTTACAACCTGGTGGTAAGTCCACTAATTTCCAAGTGTGAGTTTGCAAAATGGATTCAATTTCACTATTGACAGCTTCTTTCCATAAAGGAGCCTCAGGACTGGACATAACTTCTTTAAAAGTTAAAGGCTCATTTTCTAACAAATATGTTAGAAAATCTGGACCAAAAGATTTTGAGGTTCTAGCACGTCTACTACGCCTAGGTTCCTCTTCCTCATTTTGATCTAACTATTGTTCTTGATCATGTTCTTGATCCTGACTAGTAATAGCATCATGAGATCTTTTATTGTTACTAGTCTCTTGTCCAGTCTTATTCGGAAACACATATTCAAAGAAAGATGCATTCCGAGACTCAATAATAGTATTTACATGCATTTCGGTATGTTCTGATTTATGAATCAAAAACCAATATGCACTACTATTCTTGGCATAACCAATGAAAATGCAATCAATGGTCTTAGGACCTATCTTAGTCTTTTTAGGACTAGGTATAGCTACTTTATCCAAACACCCCCCACACTTTTAAGTATTTGTAGGATGGTACTCTTCCATGCCACAATTCATAACGTGTTTGATTCACTTTCTTTCGGGGTACTTTATTAAATATGTAATTAGCAGAAAGTATTGCTTCCCCCCACAAGTTCTGAGATAATCTAGAACTTATTAACATGGCATTCATTATTTCTTTTAAAGTCATATTTTTCCTTTCAGCAATTCCATTTTGCTGATGTGAGTAAGGAGTGGTGGTTTGATGAATTATTCCATGTTCTTTACAAAACTCACCAAAAGGTGATTCATATTCACCACCTCTATCACTTCTAAGTTTCTTGATTTTCTTACCAAGTTGATTTTCAACTTCATTCTTATATTAAATGAAAGTTTCCAAAACTTCATCCTTAGTTCGAATTAAATAAACATAACTATATGTCTATAAAACTGATAAAATACTTTTTCCCGCCTCTAGTTTGAATTGATTTAAAATCACAAATGTCACTATGAATTAATTTAAGTGATTCCGTACTTCTTTCAATTGAATGAAAAGGAGTTTTAGATAATTTTGCCTCAACGCAAATTTCACATTTATGATTTGAATCAATGTGAAATTTAGGTAAACATTCCATATTAATTAATCTACGCAAAGATCCATAATTAACATGTCCTAGTCTACCATGCCATAAATTTGAAGACTTAAGCAAGTAAGAAGAAGATGTATTATTATTAATAACTGAGGGTACAACGGTCATTACATTTAACTTGAAAAGGCCATCAGACATGTAACATTTTCCTACATACATCCCATTCTTAGTAAGTACAAATTTATCACTCTCAAATACTAGCCTAAACCCATTCTTACTCAACAGAGATCCGAAAACAAGATTCTTGCAAATATCCGGTACATGCAGCACATTGTTGAGAGTGAATTCCTTTCCAAATGTCATCTTGAGTACAATCTTTCCTTGTCCTTCAACTTTGGAAGTTGAGGAGTTGCCCATAAAAAGTTGCTCACCATTGTCCACTATAGAATAAGATGTGAACATCTTTTTGTCGGCACAGATATGGCGAGTAGCACACTACAAGAAACGACACTTTTGGCGACCAAAATATTGGTCGCCAAAAGTCCCATTTTTGGTCGCTGAAACAAATTAGCGACTAATTTTTTTTGTCGCCAAAGTCGTCGCCTATACCTTGTCGGCGATAGTATTGGCGACTAAACTATTTTTGGTCGCTGAAAGTGAACGTTTTGGCTACTAAATTTTCATTAGTCGGCAAAGGTTATCTTTTGGCGACTAAAATATTAGTAGCCAAAAGTAAGCATTTGGCTACGAAAACTTTGAGTAGTCGGGAAAGGGTATATTTTGGCGACTAAATATTTAGTCGCCAAAAGTGTTCAAATAAAATATATTAAATTTTCAGCGACTAAAACTTTTTGTCGGGAATAAGTTTTAGTCACAACATTACTACATTTAGGGACTAAAGAATTTAGTCGCCAAAAATATTATTTTTCATTTTATTAAACTTTTGGCTACTAACCATTTGGTAGCCAAAAGTCTTCATTTATTTTTAGCTACTAAATTTTTAGTCACCAAAAATCTTTGGATTCTTTATGGCTACCAAATATCTAGTCACTAAAAATATTAATTTCTTTTTTGGCTACCAATTGGTTTTTTTTCACTACTAAACATTTAATTGCCAAAATCTTTATTTAGTGTTTTTTTTTTATTATAATTAATTTCTTCACAACCTGTATTCATTTCGTGCAACTTGCACCCTATATTCGAACAATAATTATACATATATCTATTTCTATTTCATTTCAACAATACAAAAATTTGATCAATTAACATCAAATTCTATACAAATCAAATACAATCCAACCCAAAATAATAATTCCATACAAACACAAAATCATACAAAAAAAATATCCTCTGTACAAAAAATTCTACATCAAATGTCATTTACAGAATATTTTGAAGGTGTAAACATGATGGGAAAATTAAATTTATTTACTAAAGCACTTGCTTAATTTAACAATGAAGCCATTGATCTAAAGGCTTCTCATCCTTCAAGCTTGCTTCATATAGTTTGGTACCTTTCTTTCTGAAGACACCAACTGCAAAATAATAATCAACCTCCCAATCAGCAGAAGCATTTAGCAAATAAGTATAGATAATTAAACAACTTAAATAGAAAGATAATTAAATTGATGATAACAAATCTCCCTGCTGATGAAATTAGTTTCAATTTCTTGGCATAGTTAACTGAAAACAAATACACATGTTCAGTACCAACTAAATTAAATCTAGCCAAAAAAATTGAAGGTTACATATCCTAGCAGTATATATTATTATCCATAGAGTCAAACACAACCTAAAAATATTTGTGGAACTTTGATGATTAGTCAAACACAAGCAAAGAAAGGTCTTTTGTGGAACTTTGATGATTAGTCAACGTGGAAAATTAGAACCTGTATCTGAGTTATGATGCCTCGGTGAACGATTGATCTCAATTTTGTTCAAGCTACTACTACAAAAACCAAGCATTGTTGTTCAAAATGATTGATCTCAATTTTGAATTTTGATATATAGTAAGTAAAGCTCAAATTTCATACCGTAGTGCAACGTAGATTTGGTGAATACTAGAGCATCCTTGATACAAGATCAACTGCCTCAGGTGGCATTCGCTTGTGAAATACCTATAAGACACAATTTCATTAGGTTTGGCTATAATTAAAGTAATGAGCCCATCATTGATGAAGTTGTGTTAAAAGATACATGATCCTCGAAGATTTTCAAATCAACCTTGTGCCATGGGTGAGCTTTGATCTGTGGAAACTTGAATTCAGTATAGTTCGGATTCATGCACTTAATTTCCTCTCTGGTTGGTGTCCCCAGTATCTAATACCAAACAAACCAGGAAGAAAAAAATACACTAAGAGACGCCTAGATCAAAGATTAGAATACAAAAGTGAAAAAGTAAAATCATTAGAACCATCTCATCATTTTATGAATTTTACATATAAAAATTTAGTTTGTAAATTATTTTCTATTTGAAATAGCCAAAGATAAATTAATTTTATTTTGTGGCTGTAGACTTAAAGGGTACGTTAGATGCCTTGCCATAGTTGAAAATTAAGTCCCTTCTAATCTAATCCAACCTCTACAATGCAATTCATCCCCACAAATTATAACAATGATAAAACAAAGTTAATAATTAATAGGGAAACAAAATTATAACAATATTCATATATATAAACATATTTATATATATACGAACAGAATTATACAACCAAATTTATGTATACACACAAACAGATTTTATATATACAAACAGATTTTAAATCATACATACTACAGTCACTAACAAATGGAAGATAGAACAAAGGATCAAGTTGAACAACATAATACCCTAAGCAGAAGCAGAGCTAAACTGTTTCAACTATCTGTCATTTCATTTCAAGAGCTAGACGTGGGAAAAATCCCCTGTTTCAACTATCTGTCATTGAAATTTCAAGAAAGAAAAAAGGGCAGAGAAAATAAAAAGAACATTTAACTTTATTGGAAACCAATTCATAGCTTCACTTGACAACTTCTATACATTAGCAGCCTTATTTCAATTTCTTATTATTTCTCAACGTGGTCCAAATTGAAAATGGGCAAGAGTCATTTTTTTTGCTTGAAGATCTAGTAGGAAACAAGTGAAATCCTGTTCAGCACCAGTTTTCTTGTTCAGTCAACTTGCTAACCAAAACAAGTATATTAAAGGCAAAAACAATCCATTTCATTTAAATTAACACCTCATTAATGCATTTCATTCTTTGTTGTGCATAATTGAACCATCTCACTAAGGTCCTTTGTTGCTTCCTCAAATTGAACATTCACATATTGTAGCCACAACATGTCTAATATAATCTTCTACACTCACCAAAAAGGTTGAACATCATTTTCAAGATTTGAGGAAGCAACAAATTCATAAAGTTCAAGAATCTGAAGTTCATTTGTCAAGTATACAAGATTCAACAAATTCATCCTCTCGAACATCAACAATGACAAATTGCAACAATTCTGTGGTCTTCAATATGCACATGATTAAGATTCATTGCAACAATTCTATCAAGATTCAACAGAGCACTAGTTCAAGATTGTTTGCAAGCCTCAAGACTGAAATCAAGATTATCACCAGAGTTCACAAATTCAAAGTGTATCAAAGCAAGGATTTCGTAAGATCAAGAATTATTTCTGAGTAAATATGTAAAGTTCAAGAAAGAGGGCTTCAAATACTTACTCACAGATCTAGAGCAATGATGAGGAAGGGAGCAGAGCAAGAGAAAACCAAGAGAGCCGAAGCCAAGACTCACGATAGAGCTGGGGGTGTTGCAGCACAGCGGCAAGACACCACGGGTAACAACCGGCGTTGACAATGAGTTGGACAGTGACGAGCTGGACTGGTGATAGAGCGAGCTGGTGGGGTTTTGGGTTGCAGCGTCAATGGTGGCGCGAGCAGTGGGCGAGGAGGAGGTGAATCGGTGCTCCGGTTGCCGGCGGTGAGGGAGAGGGAGACGGAGCGGGAGAAGGACGCTAAAGAGAGAGAGAGAGAGAGAGAGAGAGAGAGAGAGAGGCGCTATTAATGAGATGAGAAACAGAGAAGGGTTACGGCAAAATTTTGGGGGGAATCCCCAATTTGAGAGGGAATTTCAAATTAATATAAAATTTTGATAGACTTATATTTGCTGCTAATTTTTTTAGAGATGTGAAAAATAGATCAGGCTTGTTAAATTAATATTTTTTAATTTTATTTATTGTTTATACTTTTTACTTTATTAGAGTTTTATGACTCAGTTTGTGAAAAAAAAATTACAAAATTTAGAAATATTTAGAAAGTATAAATTTAAAAATAATTTAAAATTACACCAAATATGAAAATATTATATTTTTGTGTATAAATATCCCAAAATCTCATGAAGTTTTGATGAAAATATTACACACAAAGACAGTTAAGGGTCTAGGTTCGAAGAATTCAATAAACCAAGAAAAATAAACAAAAACTTAAAAATTAGAACCTCAAAAATGGACAATCATATAAATAGATCTACAAATATCTATAGAGAGAACCAGAGATTAGGGTATAGGTTTGAATTTATAGAGCTGGAAACAATAGCAGCAAACTACAAATTTTTTTACGCATGCGGAGGCTGGGCTTCTGTCTGTGAGCCAGCTCAACCCGTGTTTTTTTAGTCGCCAATTACTTTTATAAATCCCTCAAATTTAAATTAGAAATGTCTCCCTCCAAATTTAAATTAACAATAGTGTTTGATTATTGTTAACCGTGTATAACGTAAAAATAATTTAAAAAGTTGAAAAAATTAATTATTAAAAAATTAAGAAAAATTTTAAAATCTAAAATAATATAAATAAGTCTTTCAAATCAGATTTATTTACTCATAAGTCATGAGTGAATTTTTTTTACATACTTACCCCTCGTTTTGATAATGAATTTTTTTTAAAACTTTTTAAATATATGTTTTGTGTATGTGAAATGATTATTTCATTAGTATTGGTAATAATATCGAAAAATTTATTAAAATGATAAATAATTGGGATATTTTGTCTTTTATTTGTGAATTTTGATTTATTCTTAATTTTTCATTACATTTTACTGGTAATAATAGTTTGTCTTTCATTACTGGTAATAATATTGAAAAATTTATTTAAATGATAAATTATTACATTTTAAAAATATTCATTACATTTTAATAATATTAATTTTTCATTACAACCCTACAGAAATTACCATCACCTAAAGGAACACTTTACCATTATTAAACAATCGGCTACCAAAATATTTAGTAGCCAAAAGTACGTCTTTGGCGACTAAAAAGTAATTTAGTCGGTGAAAATATGTTTCAAAATTAATTTTTTTATTTTCATTCGGCTACCAAACAATTTAGTAGCCAAAAGTAGGTCTTTGGCGACTAAAACGTAATTTAGTCGGTGAAAATATGTTTTTGGCGACCAAAATTTTGGTCGCCAAAGATCAAAAATAATTTTGTTATTTTCATTCGGCTACCAAACTATTTAGTAGCCAAAAGTAGCTCTTTGGCAACTAAAAAGTAATTTAGTCGGTGAAAATATGTTTTTGGCGACCAAAATGTTGGTTGCCGAAGAACAAAAATAATTTTTTTATTTTCATTCGGCTACCAAACAATTTAGTAGCCAAAAGTAGGTCTTTGGCGACTAAAAAGTAATTTAGTCGGTGAAAATATGTTTTTGGGGACCAAAATTTTGGTCGCCAAAGATCAAAAATAATTTTTTTATTTTCATTCGGCTACCAAACTATTTAGTAGCCAAAAGTAGATCTTTGGCGACTAAAAATTCTTTTAGTCGCCAATTGTGATATGTTTAGCTACTAAAAAAATTTTTAGTCGTCAATTGTAATATTTTTAGCTACTAAATTTTTTTTAGTCGCCAATAATCAACATTCCCCTACTAAAAAAAATTAGTAGCTAAAAAGTTGACTTTTGCCGACTAATATTATTTTTGGTAGCCAATTCTGTGACTTTTGGCGACTAAATTATTTTTGGTAGCTAAAAATGGTCGGCAAAAATGCATTTTCTTGTAATGACATCAGTGTCCACCCACCATTCTTTAGGATTTCCGACAAGATTTGCCTCGAAAACAACTGCAGAAAGATTGATGTCATCTACACCATTGAAAATTTTGTCCACTTCGGTCATACGGGCTTGAGCACATGTAGACACCCCATTTTGACCGGTCCTAATACTTGGGCATATTCTTTTGAACACCCCATGATAAAAATTAGAATATGCCATTTTTTGAATTTCTCAGCAGAAAATCAAATTGAATCTTTAATCCCAAACCTCACCTATTTTGGCCAAATCATTTTATATTACTAATATTTTATTAATTTGTAGTATTTTATAATTTTATGTGTCTGTATATATTTTTTAGGTGTGTTTATATAAATTGGTATAATCTAATTTTGATATTTTAGAAAATAATAAAAAAAAAGGAAAATAATAATAATAAAAAAAAAGAAGAAGAAGAAGAAATTTTTGGGCTTAACTTGAGATGCATTGATGTCGATGTCTTGTGGACTTGAATCAACACTTGGTGTTTACAGAATGTAGATCACAAGTGAAAGGTGACTCAAGTCTTGAACCTGCCACCTTTTGGATGATCTAACAATGCTACAAACACACCTTTAGTATTCATGACAAGTTCTCGGATTGGCACCATAAGGCCATGTGCCTTACCTGGATTTTCATGAGTGCTCTAGAGAATTAGCCCTAACTCTCATAGGAGGCGGCCCCACATCCAGACTCACATAGGTGAACCCATCAAGTGTGTGCTACTTCACACCACCTTTATAGGCTATGAGTTCATTAATAGCTATTTGCTCATCCTTATTTAGTTTAGCAACTTGCACTATTTTCACCATAAGGAGGGACGATCAAATACTAGTTCCGTCTTGAGTCTCTCTGTGGGCTGTTTTTACCCATTAAATCTGCTTCATGGGATCTCCAATCACACAGGCTGGGCTGCCATCACAGGTGACTCACTCAATGGGCTTAAGTCCCATCCCCCTTAATGTATCATATACCACTTTTCTAGTTAGCCCTTTTGTTAGAGGGTCTACCAAGTTCTTCTCTGATCGCACAAATTCAAGAGCTATTACACCATTGTTTATAAGTTGTCTAACAATGTTGTGCCTTAGTCGAATGTGCCTCTTCTTTCCATTATACACTTGCTCTTTGCTCAAGCTATTACTACTTGTGAATCACAATACAATGAGATAGACGGGACTGTCTTCTCCCATAAGGGAACATCAGCTAGAAGATTCCTTAGCCATTCACCTTTATTACCTGCCATTTCTAGAGCAACAAATTCAGATTCCATAGTAGAAGAGGCCTTATAAGTTTGTTTGGATTGTATGAGCACGAAATGTTATTCTCGTACAATCTTGTTGATCAAGATTGCGCTCCTCCGTACGTTGTCGCTTTACTCTCTGAAAACACAAACGTGAGCTACCCAGCGGTTGTGTGCTGGATACCTCTCCGATGCCTAAGTCAGCAAAATAGACAAATAGACAAAAGCTCTGTGTATTCGGGAATCAAAGTTGTGTTACCTCTCCAAAGGTGATGTTGTGAGCTTTTATAGGTTCCGCGTGGCGAGATGTTCAATATCAAAATAAATAGTTTATTCAAAACTTTCATAGGTGAGCTAATATATATCCAATATCACTATTTATAATCACAACCTTCCAATTTCATGTTTTCAATGTTAATCCCAATTATTTATGCAAAATAATAAATTAATCAAAATTAGGGCAGAATCCCCCCTTCACCAAATATCAACCCAAACACCAAAATCAACTATTTTGGCACAACATGATCCTATATTCAAGCCTCATACTCGTTTACGTCATATTCATCAAAACCCCTCTTTTCATTTCACACCCAAATCCTAGATTTGTCCAAACCACAACCAAATCTCATCATCTATACACAATAGCAAATAACTAAGCTAAAAGGGAAGAAGAGCAGCGGAGAGGCAGAGGTAGAGGGAGCGAGAGAGGTAGAGAGAAACGCTGAAGAGAGAGAGACAAAGACGCTGGTTTATTGTCTGGGAACCAAATATATATATATATTACACCGTTACCGACTAAATACTTTAGTCGCTAATTATTTTTTAATACGTCTGAAATTTGAAATCTCCCTCCATATATTTTAGGTTTTTGGCGCCTAAAATATTCTTTTGTCGCTATAAATATACTTTTTGCGACCAAACTTTTGGTCGCCAAAGGTAAAAAAAATTTATTTTTCATTCAACAAAAAATATTTATGTTGAAAATATAAATAAAAAAAAAAATTAATGTTAAAAAACGGCTTTTCTAAAGCCGGTTTTCATGAAAAAAAAATTTTGAACAAAAAATATTTATGTTGAAAATATAAATTAAAAAAAAAAATTAATGGTAAAACGGTTTTACGAAAACCGTTTTTAATTAATTCAGAATAATTAAAAACTTAATTAAAAACGGCTTTAGAAAAGTCGGTTTCTATTTTCAAATTTTATTATTATTTTAATCGATAAATACGGTTTTGTGGAAACCGTTTTCTGAAAAATGGCATTAGAAAAACCGTTTTACCCTACTTTGGAAATAAAGATCAAAACACACCCTAAAATGGGACTAAAATGTTCAAAACGGCACAAAGAGGGAAATTGGCCGGGGGGGGAGGATATCTCTCTCTCTGCTATGACATGCACATACACAGATATACTCTGAAGGCACGATCTCTCTCTCTCTCGGCTTGGGGAGAGAGAGGTTAGGAAGAGAGAGAGGAGACACCACACCACCACTGCCATCCCAACACACATGCACAACACACACTCTCACCACACACGCACACAGCACCCATGCACACCACACCACCACTGCCATCCCAACGCACACTCTCACCACACACGCACTGTTAACACCATAAATCTGCAATTTTTATTATTATTTATTATTTATATAATTGCAGGACACGTGGCATCCTCCTATTCATTTGGAAGTTAAAAGAAGTTATAGAGATAATGGAGAATATGAAGGACAAAGTGGATGAGTGGGAGGACAAAGTGGATGAGTGGAATGACACATGGCAAGACAAGAATGAAGATGGAAGAAATGGGTAGTTACTAAGTAGTTATTGCTGTATTTTTTCTTCTATAAATAGCCATTAATGGCTACATTGTAAGAGATCCAGAATTCATAATCAAAGACACTTGATTTCAATATTTCTT